TCTCTTGTGGGTGCTGAATGGAGTCTGCCTCCGGCTGCATCCTCAGGCTGCGCATGTCTGCTCCTGTGCTAGTGGCACCGGGGAACTGCAGGCAGTGTCGCTATGATGGCATGATGTGGGTGCGCTCTCTTAGTGTCTTGTCTTTTATTTTGGTTCCAGCTGAACAACTCGGACTTCTTTTAACAAAATTGGATTTTCATTTTCCCCTTCTGGAAGGGTGGGAGAAACTGCTTTCTTCCCAGCGACGCTGCAGTCTGCTGCATTCTGCTTCGCCGGACCCTCGCCTACCGCCTCAGGCCGCTCTCTCATTTCTGCAAGCAATTTAGGCGCCTGTCCTTCAGCCAGGGTTGTGAGCACGGTGGATTTATCTCATATTTATGGTGCCTTTAAGCTGCTGGACATTTCTTTCAGTCAGCCAAGCTCCCTTGTCAGTGCTGGACTGTGGGAAACAGAAAAAGGAGTTGTTGAAGTGCGCTGTAGGTAGAAGATGAAATGTTCCCAGACTGGGTGGAGAATCTCTTCGGTGTTCTCTGCCAGGTTGTGCACAGAAACTAAGCTATCTAGCTATGGAGCCCGGTGATGACCTGCTGGGCTTGTAGCTGCTAAGCAGGACAAATTGTTAGGAAGGACTGAATCATAAAAATGTGGGGGTTAAATAGCTTAGGAGACCTTGTATGGCTCCCTCCACGGAGGCATGATCTGACAAATTCCGTGTCGTGGCTGTGGGAGCAGCAGACAAAGCTTACGCAGTCAGCATAGAAAAGGGTGATGGCTGGTCTGGCACAGAAGCACTGAGGGCGAGAGGATCTTGGAGGGCTTGTTAACTCCTTGGGTATACATTAAAAACCGGGAGAGCCAATCCTCATCTTGTTATGGGTTGCTGTAAGCAGTAGACCAAGCCTGCCCTTTTATTACTCTATGGGCTTTCCACGGTGCATCGTGTCAAACTGAAAATCTCTGTTCTTCACTTCGGTGTTTCTAATGATAATAGGCTGCAGTACCATGCGTGTCGCGCTCTGGAGCGGTAAGGCTGGAGTCCACTCCGCTCTGGGAGGCAAAAGGATAGTCCGACACAGAGGTACAGCTTCAGGAACGGGTCGAGAGGGCAGCGGGACCTGCTCGCTGCCCGCTGCAGAGGTGCAGCTGCTTCCAGATGCAAGGTGCATCGCTTGGCTTCCGTGTTCATTGATCGTGGCACGTCGGTTACATAGCTTTGTTTGGCTAGGGTCGCGCATTCGCCTTCTCTTGGGAAGCATCAGAAGAGAGGGCCGAATGTCTGGCAAGTCACTTTAATCTTTGCCATGTGTTTAGGTATCATAAGGATAGAAAACGCCTAAAAGTTCAAGTGAATTGGAAGGGGATCTTCCAATATTCTTGTGTATGATTCAAAAACACCATTGTGGGAGAGAAGAGTATGGGTGCTCCCCGTCCATACTAGTGAGACTGGTAGTGCCGGAAAATACCCAGCGTACCTGCACACCCATATCTGGCCTTTGTGGGGTGCTCCCCCTTCTCACCAGCTCCAGTGAGACAAAACATGCAGAGATGTTGTGGATTTCATTAGTCACACTGGTTTATTCAGGCGTCTCCTTTGCATGAGAAACCAAGGCTTGCGCGGATCTCTGGGAAAGAATGCGCTCGCCGCTCGGGAGAGGGGTCTGCGCGAGCGGCCCTGCGGCGCGGCAGAGGTCAGGGGCACGGGCGCAGGAGTGGGGGCCCGGCTCCCGGGCTTGGTGCCGTCATTTGCAATTCAATCCCATGCGGTTCCCTCTTAGGGGAACAATTCACGAAACGCGGAGTTGTTCTTTTTCCCTAATTCACCATATAATTCACCTCCCAAGTTCAATTAAGAAGCAATCTGTTTGTGACTGGAAGCAAGCTGCATTGATTTGGAAATACAAAATTATCCTTTGCTTCAGCAAAGACCCGCATGCCTTAATAATTCTGGTCGTGAATGGCTGGTTGGGGTTTCCTTTAAATGGAATGGGATGCTGTGTGAAGAATAGCATACTTTGGGGCAGGTGAGGAGTCCTGGGGATGTAAAATTTAACTGAGAAGAGGAACTTTTGTTGAGCTTGGGCTTAAGGAAGTGACGAGGACTATGAATGAAAGAAAACAAAGGGAAATCTTGGGATGGGACATTGAGGCTGGAAAAGAGCGATAGAGTTCAGAGCAATCCATCTTGTTGAATCCGGCTTGTTCCTGTTCACACATCTAGTGGCTTTTGTCCAGTCAAGCTCTGTTAAATGATGGCACTTCCTTTGGGAGACAATGCCCTGATTTAGTGCGTCTCTTGGACCAGGAAGCTTTGACCTGTAGTAAGCTGAGAGTCTGAGTATTTTACTTTCCTCTGGTTCATTTTATTGCTGTCTTTCATCGTCCCTTTCCTGATATGCTATTTAGTTGTAGTAATGTAGTGTCAGAGAGGTAGAATTTGATACCATCCTCTCGGCCCTCCTCCAAGGTGTCAGAGATGTGCCTTTTCCACTGTCCTCGCCCCCTCAGAGGGGCTGGAGAACGATTTGCAAGAAGCCACTCCAGAGCAACAAGAAGAGTTTTCCAGCTGACGAAGCAAGACTGGTTCAGGGGCTGGAAGATGTCCAGCTCTCTTGAAAGCGGGACGTCTCTCTTGAAGTGTACACATGGCATCCAGCAGCGCCGTATGACTGATGGTATCTCCCTTTCTGCGTGTGGTGGTTGATCATGCTGTTCCTGCTTTCCCTTGCCACCAAGACTGTAGAAACTTGCTCTTGAGATCAGCTCATTCAGGCTCCCTTCTGCTCCCAGGGGAACTATGATAACGAGATGGGGAAGGACAGAGCAGGACAACGGTGGTGGTATCAGCGCTGCCTTCGTACGGCTGTGAATGTAGTCTCGCATGTTGTGCTTTCTCACCCTGGGTACTATTTTTGAGTTCTCTCTCCTACTGCAGTCACCGTGGAGAGCTTTCCTGCCAAAGAGGTGCTGGCCTGGTGTTCCAGGTTGGGTCTGTGGCCGTTTGGTGGCTTGCTGCTCGGGTTTCTACACTTTGTATAGCTGCTCTCTGGCTTCTGCAGTGTTCCCAAGTCAGGCCTTGCAAAATGGAAAGCCCAGGAAACCTGGAAGACAGACAGCTATAGAAAGACCCTTGTTCTTCCCTCTTCCCTCTACCCCATGTTCCAACCATTTTTCTGTCCCTTTCACTGCATTTTTCTTCTATTGTCTCTGTCCTGATGGTCGTCTTGCTGCTGGAGGATCTGCTAATGCTCCCTCTGTCCCCACACTCGGCAGCTCCTGGTAGTACGTAGAATTCCGATCTCAAGACTGGATGATTGTTGGTCAGCCTGTGTGTAAGAGATGGCCAAAATTTGGGAGCTGTCCCGGGAATGTTAAATACTTCCTGGGAGATCGCGTTGGACGTAGCTCAGGTTGTCAATGTAGCGAGAGGCTGGAGCAGGGATGCTGAAACACTGTGAAATGTCCCAAGCCCCTTCCTTGTTGAGTTCTGGTTTAAGCTGTGAAGATTTGCACCTATTGAAGTGTCTACATGCTGACTTTTAGGAATTCGCACATATTTTTTGCATGTGGGCAAGAGACATCCTAACAAGCCTCAAGAGGCTTTGAGGTGCGGAGTCTGGTGCACCTCACGTTGGAGATGCCATCTTGGCAGGTCCCTGGGTAGGTTTTATGGTAGGGTGCAAAATCAGTAAACACTCTGAACTTTCTGTTCATTTAGGCATTTTTAAGGAACTGAAAAATACCACAGAAAACCAGTATGAAAAAATGTGTGAAATGTGTGCTTCTTTACTCATTTTGAAATACTTAGTGTCTCTGAGTTTTGGAGGGGTTTGAGGCTTTTTGTTGAGCGGTTTTCTTTTTTCTTTGCTGGCTAGTATTGGGGGGCTTCATTTAGAAACAGGCATTTTAGGGGAAGGGAAGATGGTGGTGGTGGTGGGGAGAAAGATTGGAAAATATTTTGTGAAGGGAAAAATGCAGTTACAAAATGGAGACAGAAGGTGTGTAATCCGGGGTCTTCCCAGTGCTCTCCATGAGCTGGCTGTGAGCGTTCAGCACTTCACCGCCCGGTGCCTTGCTAGCCCAGTGAATATGAAGTGGAGCTCGGTCCTTCTCCTGTGTTACGTGGATGTGATTCTCGTACGTGCTGCTCGTGGGAGGGTTGGCTGTAGACCTTACGATTGTACGTACCGGGGGATGTAATGGTGCTTCTAGAAACCAGACTTTGGTGGTAATGTTATGTAAGGGAGGGAGAGCTCCGTTTGCTTCCTGTAACACAGGTGAGTTTGCACCGTTGGTGTTTTGCTTCATAGTGAGCAGAACTATTCTGAATTCCTCCAGAAGTGTGAATGAGTTAGTGTTTGTTTTAAATCAGTTCCTGGCACTGCGTGACATTTTAAATCTTTTTCTGCAGTAGAATGGGTCCAGTACTGAGGGAAGATCCCATTTCTGTGTCATGCATCAGAAAAGCTAAACCCAAGTATCCAGGAGCTAACATCACACGGTCCTTCCTGCTTTGGTAGCCAGGGGATGTTCGCATTGCAGAGAAGGACTTTTATTTCCAGGTGAAGCTGAATTCAGGCCAGATGAATGAGAGCTGATAGAGCTATTGGTCTGAAGGTAGATCATTCTTTGCCTTGACAGCGTACCTTTATTAATTTGAGATTTAACAGTGGTCCTTACAAGGAGGGTGGTAGCAATAGCATAGCTCCTGTTCTCAGTAAGTATCCATGGAACTACCCTTCCGTAGAAGAGACCTCCTGCCAATTCAGGGCACGGAGAAGCTAAGGCACGGGATGGTAGCGAGCTGCAAGGTGTCACCGTGAGCTAGGGACAAATCCAGGAAGAGAGCCCAGCCTCATCGGGCTCTTAGCCCTTGTTCCCTGTGCAGGGAAAGCAGCCGGTTTCGGTGGCTGCAGACCCACAAATGGCTGCCGTCCGTCCCACGGCAGAGCTCTGCCAGCCTGCTCACCCGGAGATGTGTCTCTGCTCTTTCTCCTTTGCAGGTGGCCTGGGAGAACAGTCCCTCGTGTCGAGCGAGAACGCCACTGCAACGGATCGTAGTGACAAAGCAGTTAAAAAGGGTAATGTGGTACCCCACCCAGACCTTTGGGTATCTTTTATTCACTTTTTTTATCCCCTGTAAAACCATGTTTTGTCCTATGTACATGTGTGTGCCTCGGTGCCCGGGAGGCCCGACAAGCATCTGCGTTTGTTGCTGTTGGTGGGCTCTCTGCAAGGGTGGGGTTGCCTTGGCTAGCGTTGGGGGGGGGTTTTTTATCCCCCTTCTGCAGCAGGACAGCGGAGAGAGCAGGAAGAGCAGATGTGAGAAAACTCATCGGTTGAGATAAAGACAGTTAATAAGTGAGGGAGAGAGAGGGGGGAAAAAACCCAAATCAAGCTGTCCAAGGGGAATTGCTCACCCCCATCCACAAGCAGACTGATGGCCAGGCAGTTTCTGAGCAGTGGCTACCTTGGAAGACAAAACCCCACAGTTTTCACTTGCTGAGCACAATTATGGGATATCCGTCTGGCCAATTTGGGTCAGCTGTCCCAGCTGTGTCTTCCTCCAGTCTCTTGCCTACCCCATGTCTACTCGCCTGGGGAGTGGAGAGGCCTTGGCAGAGCAAGAAAAAGAAAGCCTTGACGCTGTGCAAGCACTGTTCAGAAACAGCCTGAACGTTGGTGTGTTATCAACACGGGTTTAGCCACAGATGCAAAGGGTAGTACCTTATGGGCTGCAGTGAGGAAAGTTCGCTCCATCCCAGCCAGACCCAGTAGGTACAGGTAGCCATGGCTGTCCGCGGGCCAGCAAAACCATTTTCCTCCAAGGCAGAGAGCGTAATGCTAGCTGGCTGCTCCTTGCTGCAGGGATGTTTCAGCTAGACCAGTTTGGGCTTCTGTTCCCCTGAAGCAGGCTATCACCCAGGCCGGGTTTGCAGCTGGCTTCTGCCACTTGTGTAGGTAAGGTGTTGCTTAGAGGATCAGCCCAGACCTCCGATCTTCGGGCCAGTTTCCACTCGGAGACGGGCTGGTGCTACTGTTGGCGTAAAGCTGGGCTGTCTCTGCTGGCCAGCACGGGCTGGGAGCCCCTGAGCAGGTTTCCGAGAGCGGCAGGGGCTGTTTGGTGGCACCTTGCAGGCACAGAGTGCTGCGGGGGCTGTGGGCAGTGTAAGGAGCCTCCCACCCACGGCTGGTGTACGGACACCGCCGAGTGCTGTTTGTCGTGGAAGGGAGGGGGGTTTTAGAAAGCATCTTGGTTATTCCAGGCTTAGCAATAGTAGTAGTCAGTAAGAGAGGTTGTGTCCAGGCAGACTACGCGTTAGAAAGGCTGCATGGCTTTGTCTTTCAGTGAAGAAACCCTCTCCATACACGCGAGTTGGCAGTGGCTGCAAGCAGTGCTTCTTCAAGCTTGCTGTCCAGATTTCTTCTGTCCCCTGCTGATACGGCATCTGCTGCCTGCTTTCTCCCCGTCCCCGCTGGGATGGTGTGCCAGGCCTCCCCAAGGACCCGCTGCAAGTTTAAGATAGAACATTTTTGCAAGAATCAGGAGCAGTCGAGAGCTGTTGCAGGACTGGTGCAGAGAATTTGCCCAAGAAGGTGTGTCGCTGGTGAGGAATGGAAGAGCTGGTGGCACGGAAGTGTGGACCCAGGGTCCTCTGTGCAGAGCTCCTACCGCACCATGCGTGGGAGGATGTGGGGCAGATGACTCCTCGTTCGGCTTTGCTGGCAGGAGCTGTCTATGGGAACATTCACAGAGGTTTTGGGCAGCCCCGGGAGCAGCTTGTGACTGGGAGACTCAATTTCTGCACTGCCTTGGTTTTCTTCCCCTTGACAGCAGTGGTGCTGCTGGAGGGGTGGATGGGAGAAGAGGCAGCCCCTCTAGTTGCTGGAGGAAGGTCTCGGTGGGGCTGGTGCCTGTTCATAACTGAGCAGCCCATGTCCCTGACCTGAGAAGCAACGCTGTAGCCAGTCTTGCTGATTTCTGTAGGAATCACAAGACCAGGGCTGGAGCTGAGATCCCTCCTCCTGGGGCTTCAGAGAAGCCCACCGGCAGCGAGGAGGTGAGGAGAGGGTTCCCTCGAGGCCAGCATGCTCTGCGGGTGCAGCAACGCCCGCGCTCCATTATTCCTCTGCCAAAGCCCGGCTGATGGGTTGGCTGTGAGATACAGGCAGCTTACCTAAGAAATGATGTCTACACAGTCCTTACACATGCTAGTAAAGGCCAGCTGGACTAAGGCTGCTTTGAGGTTTGGGGTCACCCATGGCGCAGCAAATGGGATGAACAGCGAGGAAGCTCTGAATGGAGGGTGTTTTCTGCTGGATCAGGCCCATGCCACATTAGCAGCGCAGCTCCTGGAGATGTAGCTGGTACCCGAGCGGAGCTGCAGGGTACGGGTCCTGCCGAGAAGCCTGCGTGAATCCTCAGGGTGGTTTTATGGCCGGCACTGAGCACCATGCAGCCAGGGCTCCTCTGCCCTTTTAGCAAGAAATGAGACAAGTCTTCTGTTTTCCCTCTTGTCTCTTTGCTCCTTTTCATTAAATCGAAGAGATTCAACATGGATGGAGATTTGTGCGAAGTATAGCATGCCTCAGCTTTTCCACCCCGAGCATCCCTCCTCCAGCAGACTGTCCCAACTGTGCATGTCTCCAAACAACCCAAGACCTAGCATGTGAAAACAAACACATTTATGTGATACTTTCCAGCCTTGAGTATAGGTTTCAGTCCAAGGGGCCCATCCTCTTCTTCCAAGGCCAGCTGGAATACGTCGCTGTTGCCGTTGTGAAGCTGGCCCTTGCCAGAGCAAACCTTTCTCTGCAGATCTGGACGAGCAGGGCAAGCTGAGAATGTACAGTGACAGCTGGGTGGGTTTGGCCTCCCTCCTCCCATTCCCCTTCTTTAGGTGCCATGTCCCCATCTACGGAGCTGCCGTTGGAGAGGGTGGGTAGGTAGAGATTGGGGGGTGTCCCTTTATGCTCTGCTGGGAGAATAGCTTTGGCATAGCTTGTAGGGAGGCTCCAAAGGCAAGAAGGGCTGGGTTGCTGCAGATTAACTGTCCCTAGGTCCCAAACAAACCACTGGCAAATCTAGCTGTGGCTTCTGGTTTAGATTAACATTTTGCTTTTTCTGTTTTTTCTTTTTCTGAAGCTCCAGGGTATTACCTGAGGGCTGCACGTGGGACTAAAGAGGATTTAAACAGTGTTGCCCCTCTGTCTTGCAGACGGCAGGCAGAACACAACGCTTGCGAGGAGACCGAAGAGGAAGGAATATAACAATGAGTCTGGGATGGAGACGCACTCCTCTCCCAGAGTGCGCAGGGCAACCACATCCAGGGCTGAGAGGATCTGGCCGGGGGGGGTCATTCCCTATGTGATCGGAGGAAATTTCACTGGTCAGTAGTGAAAACGTTGCTCCCTGTTTGCTCAGGGGTCTCAAAATGCGTGGGAGATCTCGGGAGCGGAGTTTTCCCGCAAATGACTTTGTCCTTGGGCACTGTGGAAGGCTGAGGCTGAAGTGTGCAGTGAGGTGGATCTTCTCTTGGAGCCCAAGAAATGATTGGGTGACTTGGTCACTTTTCTATGATTGCTTCGAGGGCTGGCATTGCGAGCTGCACTCATACCCTGCGTTTCCAGGAAGGGATCCTCTCTGCTGCTGGAAGAGCAGGAGCAGAAGTGCAGTGGGTTGCTTTCTGAATCCTCACTCAGAGGACTTTCCCTGTGCACTCTGCTTGCTGACCTGCTGTTTGCTGGGCACCAATCTTCAGGGTCTCCTCTAGCTGTAAGAGGGAGAGGAGCAGTGAACTGGGTCCCATGGCAGGTGAGGAGCTCTTCAGACTATCCTTTTTAGGATCTTTATAGCATCTTTGGGGCCCTGTCCAAAGGAAGATGTCTCTTGGGGTGCAGCAGGTCTCTTGCAAGTCTCTGATGTGGAGCAGACAGACAGCTGGGTCTGATGCCACCTCTCTGTAGCTCCGTGGTTCCCTGTGGGACTGGTTTCCTTGACTCAAGGATGATAAATAGTCTGTACCTTGCTGGAGCCAGCTCCTCCCTATCTCCCCCAGGCTGCCTCCACCATCTCCCGCTTAGATCCAGCAGAACGTATTCGCTTGAGCTCCTCTGATGTGCTTTGTCCCAGAAGAAAAGGGCAGTTTGGGAACCACTTCAGTACAGAGTGGGTTTGCCTCCCCAGTCCTGCCCCTCCTGCCAGTTTGGGGTGATCCTCAAGACCTCTTTAACATGTTTGCCCAGACCCTGTCCCGTACCAGCACCCACACTGCTGCCAGGAGCCCATGAAGCCCCAGGGGAAGGGTCTGTTTGCCTCCTGCAGAAGGAGGGGCTCGTGAAACCTGGTGGGATATTGAGTAGCCATCTAGCCGCAACCATCCTCCTGTGTTTGTCAGAGAGCAGCCATCCCCATCCCTCGGGGTCTGACAAGAAAGCCTCCTCCATGTTATCTGTGTCCCACTACCCCAGCCAGTCCAGAGCAGGTAACGCCATCCTTCCTTCTGGGTGACCGCACGAGAAGCACCTCTCACTGTAGCACAGTTCTCTCTTGCATTCAGCTTACTCCCGCCCTGGAGCTCCTGTCCGTAGTCCTTGTGCCTTTCTGATGTACTTCTGGCCATTCCCCGCTCTCTAGTCCGCTTGAGAGCGGCAGCTTGCTCTGCATGCAGAGGCTCTGCTGGGATGGCAGCGCGGGGAGGTCTCCTGGCCGTGTCCTGCTCTGGGGCATCGCTTCCCGGCTGTGCGTGGGACTGCTCTGGATGCTGCTGAGCGAGCAGGTTGAGGGAAGGTCCGGTGGCCTGTCCTCTCCCTGGTCTGCAGTAGGCATAATAACCTGCTTCTGAGCTGTCTCTGGGCGAGTCCTAAGCTGCACGTCCCTCTCTCCAAGCACAGAGCAGCAGTGGACCTCTGTACCTTCCTACACTGCCCTCAGACTGCCTCGAGCTCCTATGTAGTTGTTGCTTCTAATTTTAAATACCTGCTGATGGTTTTGCCTTAGTTTTAAGGAGCGTTTGTAGCCCTTGTGAGATTCCTGGGTCTTGAAAGCTCTGTGTGGCCATGTTATGTTGCATCACGAGAGCAGATTTGGCACACCAGCGAGTAGCTGGTGCACAGGTTGGAACACCCAGCAGCTCTGCCAGAATGACCTCTACCCAGTGAGGGGGCATTTCTCATATGCAGAAGTGTTGATGTGCTTGGCCAAGTTTGCCACCTGTCTAATTAGAGCAATTAGTTCATCAGTCAGAAGGAGAGAAAAGTATGATGCAGTAAGTTAGTGTTATAGTAGGAAGTGGGTGCCAGATGGCTAGAGGTGCCTACAGGTGTGAGACTGACTGTTGCCCCATCCAGATGAAGTCCATTAGAGAGCTTCCTGAAAGCCAAGCCTTCACTGTTTGCCCTTCTTGGGTTTGCTTTTCAGGAACCCAAAGAGCTATCTTTAAGCAAGCAATGAGGCACTGGGAGAAGCACACTTGTGTGACGTTTGTGGAGAGAACTGATGAAGAGAGTTTCATTGTGTTCACGTACAGAACGTGCGGGTAAGCGATATGTACCTTCCCTGCCGCTATCCGTGCTGCAGACGTCCCTTTTGTTGGTAGATGGCTTTGTAAGTCTAGCTCTGGTCAAAATAAACCATTGGCTACACTGGGGAGTCCCTCGCAGGGATCCATCCTTACTCCCTGTAAGGTCTGCCAAGATAAGTTGGTGTTTGCTCAGAAGAAGGTGCTAAGCCTTTCTGGATTCTTTTTCCTGGGATAACACTGAAGTGTGTCTATGCATTTTTATAGATAGGCATTGAAGTATTTTCTTTGTACATATGCACGCACATACATGTGAGTACATGTAGTGTGTGCAGCTGCTGGCCTGCCCTGGACCCTGCCGCATCCATCTCCTGTTGCGATGTCTCAGACTTCCCCAGTTCATTCATGTGCTGCATGAGTCTGTGGGTTTTCTTTTCCAGGTGCTGCTCGTACGTAGGTCGCCGAGGAGGAGGCCCTCAGGCTATATCCATTGGGAAGAACTGCGACAAGTTTGGTATTGTGGCTCATGAGCTGGGTCATGTGGTGGGTTTCTGGCACGAGCACACGCGGCCTGACAGGGACCAGCATGTCACCATCATCAGAGAGAACATACAGCAAGGTAGGACAGCACTTCAGGTGCCACCCACTTTTGGGTGGGTGGAAACGTTGCTTGCTGGACTTGTGGGAGACCCTAGTGGTCTGTGAGTTGGGATGGAGAAGAAATACTGCTAGTCCTTGCCTAGAATAAGGGCCAGAATAATTGGGTGAATAGAGATTTTGGATGTCCAGCTGGAATTGTTGGAACGTAGGAGTATATCCCTTTCATTCTAGGGACCCCCAGAGGTGGAAGGCTTTATTTATTTGTTTATATTTTTAAAGTTATTTGGTTTTTTTCCCTTTGTGTTTGCCCTCACAGGTCAGGAGTACAACTTTTTAAAGATGGAAGCCGGGGAAGTGAACTCACTGGGCGAGACCTATGATTTCGACAGCATCATGCACTATGCTAGGAACACGTTCTCCAGGTGACAATCCAAGGTTACACGTCCTTAGGACTATTTTCAGTAGTTGTGATTAGCTCTGTGGGATACATGGAGCCCAGAAGGAGACCTGTGAGCTATTGCAGAGATACGTGGCAGTTGTAATGAGCTTGGAAAATATTTGAAAAAGCAACGTGGGTGAAGAGAAGTGTGGTGGACTCCTCTTTTCCCCTCCCCGCCGTATTCATCTAGTGCTGATAATCTCAGAGACCTTCCAAAACCACGCCAGCATGTTTTGCAGCCTTCCCACAGAGCACACATGTATGCATGTATGTGTAAGTATACACACGTGTCTGTATGTACCTGCCTATCTTCGAGGGGGAATGCTAAAAACACCTCTGAATCTCTTGGTTTTCCAGCTCATGCTTTGGAGCCACCATATTGCCTTCCAAATCCACTGCAACTTTACTAAGGGAGAATTTAAACTCTAGATTGTGATCTTTAATTGCTTGGCTATTTTTATTTTTTTTTTAAATCATTTATGCGTGTGCTTTAGATCATGGTCTCTGCAGCTCTGTGGTTCTGTGTGACCGGGCTTTTCATGGAGAAGTTTTCAGTCCTGTCCCTGTCCCCACTAACTGGCCGATTTCTGCGTGGGCTGTTTGCCCGTGACTCTCGTCTCACCCCTCCAGATGGGAGCCCATTTGGTGATCAGACAGCTCGGCCAGATGGAGAGGTGAAATGAGCATAGCTATTCATGTCCTAGATGTGGAGTGAGAGCTGTTGGGTGACCAGCTCCGTTTTGCTGTGTGATTTGAAGTTTTTTTCCCTAAATCCCACTACTGCTCCTTCCCAAGAGCTTTCCTTCACTACATACCGGGGGTAAAGGGAGTGGGAGGCAGAGGGCTAATATTCGCGCTCTTGAGAACTCTTTGTTGCAAAAATTAAAAGTGTCTTCGGGGCTTTTCAAATTTCCTTGCTCTCCAGTTGTGTGGAATTGCCAAGCCTATTGTTTTGTGCTTTTCGTTTCTGAAACTTCACGTCAACCAGGGGAAAATGTAAAACTTGCTGAAACGTTGCTTGTTCTGGCAGGGGGAGATGGTGGCTGGGCAAGGGTGCTTTGCAGCCGGCAGAGATTTCTTTGGGTCAGGTGCCCAAAGCAAACAATTTTGCTTCCCGTGAGGCATCTGCTGGACCCTTCCAGCATTTTCTAGACTCTCAATGGTTGGAATTGTCTTGCACAAAAGCAGGATTAAGTTATTACCGCCGTTTACATTGTGGATGCCTTGGAGTCTGCGTCTCTTGAAAACCAGGGTCCTTCAGAACACTGCTGGGCCAAAAAGGGATAAAAATGGCAAGAGTCCTTCTAAATTTAAATTGGTGCTTCACAGGGTTTTTAAGTCTGTTTTCTTCAAGCCCTTTGTCTCCGTGACCCACCCTTACCCCAGCAGCCGTCTTTGTGCAGCGGTTGAACTGGGCACCGAGTGCTGCCGTGGGCTGGTTGGGCTCTCGCCATCAACAGGCAGTGCTGGGAATGGGAGTTTGCTCCACCAAGCCCTGGCCTGACGTCTGCTCCCCTGAGGAGAATGCTGCTCGCTTTGACCCATCGGTAGAGATTAGTGAGCGTGCGCATGTGTCCTGCCCCCCTTACCGAGGTGTGCGGTGCTGGCCGATGGCAGCCCGAACTGACCAAAGCACAGAGCCCACAGAAGAGTGAAGTTCCAGTGAGTCCCATTAAGACCAGTGGCTGGGAATGGGAGATACCCCTGTGTGACCCTGCAAGGGAAGGGCTGCGTTGGGTGTGTTGATGCACCAGCAGACACTGGGAAGTCTGCACTGGACGGAGATGGTCTGAGCACCTCGCTGGCGGAGATGGGCTGCGTGAGCGGGGAGGAGGTGAAGGACTCGTAGCCCTGTCTGTGACTTGTAGCGATGTCATATGTATGACATCAAGGCACAAGACATGTCTTGAAGCAGCTCTTACATGGCACCGACCGCAACCTCGTTGTTTGACTCCTGTGAATGCTGATGGTAGCGAATAACATGGTGTTTGCCGTGGTCAAAAGTTGCTGCAGATCCTAGGCCCTTTTTCTTCTGAGGTTTGTACCTAGGACAGAAAGAGTCTGTTTTTATGAGATGCAAGGAGTCCTACCGGTGGGAATTGTTTCCAGTGAGGACAGGCTGAGGGAGCTGGGCTTGTTCAGCCTGGAGAAGAGAAGGCTGAGAGGGGACCTTAGAAATGCCTCTAAATATCTGCAGGGTGGGTGTCAGGAGAACGGGGCCAGACTCTGTTCAGTGGTGCCCAGCGACAGGACAAGGGGCAACGGGCACAAACTGAAGCAGAGGAAGCTCCAGCTGAACATGAGGAAGAACTTCTTACCTCTGAGGGTGACGGAGATGTGGAGTCTCCTTCTCTGAAGATGAATTCAAGCCCTGCCTGGACGCGTTGCTGTGCAGCGTGCTCTAGGTGACCCTGGTTTGGCAGGGGGGTTGGACTAGATGACCCACAGAGGGCCCTGACAACCCCTACCATGCTGTGGTTCTGTGGTGCTTTTGAAAACTGCTGCAGGAGTCACTGCTCATGTTCAGTTCAAAGTGAAACCTGTTTCTTGTTTGTGGCTATGGCTAATAGGAGCAGGAGTATGGCAGAAGAGGCTGTCGTGACAGCAGTAACCAGTTTTTACCATGGGAACTTCTATTCTTGTCCATGTTGGAAAGTTGCCAGTTTTGCAGAGTATGGCTGCAGGCTTTTATTTCCCAGTGCATCCCTTACAGACACGGCAGCAAATTAAATTGAATATTGCTGTCTCATGAAACAATTTCTTTTACTACTGTCAAGGTTCATAAATGGCAGCGTAGCAAGAAGAAAGTTTAAGCCTCCATGGAGCCCTGAGCAAAGAGTGGGTTACCCGAATTCTCCAAGCCTCTTGCCAGTAGACATGGCAGCGCAGCCCGGAGTTACAGAACGTGGCCTCTGCCAAGCTCGCGTTTGCGTCGGGGTGCAGGCAGCACTGCCTGTGGGTCGGGGGGCATCTCCCTCGCGTGTTTGCAGCACGCCGTCCCCATCCTGCGCAAGACGTGTACACATCCTCCACTGGTTTTACTGGGAGAGGTCGAGTTAGGTCGTCTCTCTTCTGCGCGCGGGGATGTGAATGCAGAGCTGGGACAAAATGTCGCTACCCGCAGCCGAGTGCTTAATCCGCCTCCAGTATCTGCTTCCTTGGGTGGAGTCTAAGCACCCGTATCTGTTGCCCTCTGATGGGACAGTGAACGTTCAGCGTTTCTCGAGATCAGTTGATAATTTTGTAATGTTTGCATGACGCTGTAGGCATTCAGGGTGCTATGCAGCGGCTGCTAATGGGAGTATCTCTTCCCAAACTCTGTTCTTCTGAGCTGGTTGCAACGGTGGGTGGTTGTGCTTGACTTACCGCTGCGCTGGGCAGCTGGTGCATGTCCTGCCATGCCTGGACAGCAGGAGAGTGGGGCATCCAGGACTCCTGGGCTCTTCACCTACTTCTGGGAGGAGACTTCTGGGTTTTGTATTCGAGAATGGTTCTGGAGTTAGAGTTCCCGAGCTGCTTTGTTTGATGATGTCTGCTTGGTGTTTACTAATTTGTGAACCGAAGTAGTGGTGCTCTTAGAGACACTCCCCAAACGTGCAACTGGAGATCACAGGTGTGGTTAAGCAGATGGCGTTTGGGTGGACAGCGTGGGACTACTGGGGACCGGTGTAGGTTAGGCCAGAGAGACACTCCTCTGCTCTCGGTTCCTTTGAGTGTGAGAGGAGCCAACCTTAATGCCACTTCATCTGGAGTCACGCTCAGCCACGCGTGTGAAGAGACTACAGAATGCGGTTGGGTGGAAAGAGTAAAACCAGAGGCCTGACTGCCCCAGCCGAGGGTACGGTCTTCTGGAAGAAAATGCGTCTGGCGGGTAATAGGGGCAGCCTGAAGCTGTGGGCTGTTCACGCTGGGTGAGCAGCACCCTCGGTGTGTGCTATGTGTGGAGGGCTGGGGGCTGTGAGCACGCAGTCTTCAGGGCTGCAATGGGAAAAAGAATCAGAAGTTCGCATGTGCCAGTGGTGGTTTCTCTATTAAACCTTGTCGTTCGTCTCTGGCTGAGCCTGGAGAGCTGCAGAGAATGTTTCGCTGGCCACAGAACTATGTCTCTGCTAGACGCCGAGCTCTTCTGTGTGTGAACTTCTCAGGAGGCTTGAAACCTTACTGTGAGAAAACTGACCTGTTTCTCTGTTTGTGCTGTTTCTGGACTTAGAGGATTAATTTTCAATACATAAACTTAAATAAATTCAGCCTGAGGCACGCAGCCAGTGTGTAGAATGCCAGCCTGAATTTGTCAATCAGAATTTGATGGGCTCACCTCAGACCTTGTAAGCACTGATTTTGGTCCTGGTGAGGAATTTTCCTACCACTGGAAAAACCCAGCATCCCCCATGCAAGAGCTGACTCTGGTTTTTAAAACAGATTAAATGCCTTCCCCTCTATTTCTATCTTCAGTTTGGATATTTACAAAAGAATTTTCCCTCATAAAAGATGTTTAATAGAGTGATATTTTCTGTTCAAGAATACTGACTGCAGCTCTGGACAGCTGTAATCCAAATAGTCGGCTTGCAGTGTTTATTTAAAATAGAACCAGTGCAAAAAAATCCTCTCAGCCTCTTTCCCAAGGCTCTTACGCAGCCCTGGCACCTCCGAGCCTGATAGTCAGTCACGGGTGCTGTGAAATTGTTGCTGTGGACTGGGCAGCCTGGCCGTGAGAGCTTGGAGTTTACCAGCCTGGAGTTCAAGATTTTGATTCTGAGGGGCTATGGGCACAAACTGAAGCAGAGGAAGCTCCAGCTGAACATGAGGAAGAACTTCTTCCCTCTGAGGGTGACGGAGCCCTGGAACAGGCTGCCCAGGGAGTCTGTGCAGTCTCCTTCTCTGGAGATACTCAAGCCCCGCCTGGCCGCGGTGCTGTGCAGCCTGCTCTGGGTGACCCTGCTTGGGCAGGGGGTTGGACTGGGTGACCCACAGAGGTCCCTGCCAACCCTGACCACGCTCCGATTTTGTGATTCCTCCCTCCCACTTTAGCCCAGCAGTCCTAATGCTGCCTTGGGGTCTCTCTTGTGTGCAAGCTCTTGCTTGGATGCAGGGACTTTGCATTTTCATGGAAGCACGAATCTGTTTGATTTCATCATATTTCCATTTGACTTCATTTGCATTTGAATTCATCAGCTCCTTTTCTGGCCTGAGATCAGAAGTACAGTAGAGAGCTCCTGAGTATGAAGTACCGCATGGAAGAAATAGTAGCTAGGAAGAAGAGACAGAGAGAGATGGAATTATTAGCTTGGAAATTCATGCAGAACAAAGGTAGAGCACCTGATATTTTTCTTTTGTCTGTGGCAACCGCAGTCACTGCCAGCCCAACCCCATCTGCTGCTGCACGAACTCCCCTCCCCTCTGCTCCTTTGGCTGAAGTGTCCTGCTGAGCCAGATGTGCCATGGGCCTTCTGCAAGAACATTTCATTGCCTTTTCTGATTTATGGCAAGGAATGTGCCTATACTCAAACAGAGGCAGCAGCAATCTTCATGTATCAAAAGAGGAACTGACTGGCTTGGCAGACTTTTGGTACATTTGGAGGCTACCTGCTATAGTGAGAAGACCACCTCAAGTCATGGGGTTATCACAGTCTGCATTACTCTTGCTTGTTAGCGTGGGATGTACGGTCAAGGGGATGGTGCGGGAGGCCTGCCAGGATGACTGTCTGTGCATCGTGTCACTTCCCTGCTTCACTGCTCTTTGTCTCTCTGTTCTTCCCTCTAGAGGGGTTTTCCTCGACACCATCCTTCCCCGTCGTGATGATAACGGGGTCCGGCCAACTATTGGTCAGCGTATTCGCCTGAGTCAGGGAGACATCGCTCAGGCAAGGAAGTTGTACAAATGCCCAGGTAAATATGGCTTGTGGAGATGGCTCCAGCTTTATTGTAGACGCACAGTTTATCTGGAAGGCATTGGAGTTCAAGAGCACCTTAACGATTCCTTTGATGAAAGAGGCTCAGGAGATGCAGACCATTAAATGCTTCAGGCTGGAGCTGTGGGAGAATTGAACTTGCCTAATATGTGTCTCGTGCTAGTACTTTGCCAGTACTCCTGCTTGGTTTAGGGCTTCAGGTTTGTCCAGTGTTCTCTGCTGAAACTCGTACGAGGAGCTGCAGAGTAGGCTGGGGAGAGGGGCTAGGACCAGGCTTGTATTCTGCTGCTGTTTTCATATACATATACTGTCTGGAATGAAGGGCATAGGCTCTGTTCATAGAAAATGAAATCGATGTCCAAGACTGTGGGCAGAGTGGGGACTAGGAGTTAGCGAAGTGGCAGAGGGATATCTGGTGGACCGAGGTCTCTCCACACCAACCATCAGACTTCTGTTGAGTTACTTCTATAGGCGTTGTCCCAGGGATGAGCCTTAGGGAAACCCAAGCGTGTGTCTGTGATTATGGTGTGTTGCAGCCAGGTTTGAGAGACAACCTGGAAGAAAGCCCGAAGACGCCCATTTGTGAAACAGCCAGGTGCCAGAAGCTGGTGCTTTGGGCTGTTCAGTGGAGGGCCGTATCCCTCCTCCTGCTGTCAAAGGGTTGATAGACCAGGAGGATCTTTGATAGAGAACCCACCTATGTCTGTGGGACATGCTAAAGACCGGTAGTCTGGGTCCTGCTGTATCTGTGGTCTGAAAAGATTGGCAAAAAGAGCCTTGGGGTCACAAATATGATTGGGAGACTAAATTTACCCATCAGAAGAAAAGGATCCTTCGGAAGTGGAGATGTCAGACAGTGCAAGTTCATGCGATGGTTTTACCTGAATAGGTTAATAGAGAAAGCCAGATTTCAGAGGAGAAATCCGCCAGACTTAAGGACGGGTTGAATGTGAGGATGCAAAGAGAGGCTTGAAGCAAAGGTGGCACCCGGTCTGGTGCCTGTAGCGTGGACTGCAGTGGCTGGCAAGGGGGGTGGCACGGGAGGTGGTGCTCGGAAGGAGGAAACTTAACAAACCCTGTTGGATTTTTGCTGGTAGTGAAACATCCATGAGAAGACACTGGAGAATGAGAGAGTTGCCCTAGTTTTGCAGAACGACTCTGATGTTTGTAATCGTTCAGGGAGGTAAAAAAGGACTTTTGCGAGCATGGCCCAGGAATTTATCTGTCTGGGTTGGTCTGGCCAGCGTATTGATCCCACTGAGAGTGGCTGTGACTGAACATAAACCTAACACAACCATAAATGACTAATCCTCTTGGGATGAGCATATCGCAGAGAGAGGAGAAGGTGAGGAGGAGAGGTAGGTTTTACCAGTATGCAGTGTCACGCCTTCAGTGGGTGGCTGGCTAGTACAGCTCCGTGAACCATTCGTGAGGCCATGGAAGATGGTCGACAGCTGGTGTGTGGATCCGTTTCTTCTCTGTATCCAGCTGTGAGTCGGAGAGTGTGGGTTCAAAGGAGGGTGGAATAAACTCTGAGGATCAGCAGCACTTCAGGGGCCAGGATGCCTGGGGATTGCTGCTTGGCTTACAGTGAGGGATAGAACTGAGGTGTGCTAGTTTTAACTAACTGCTTTTTTTTCTTTTTACCACTCATAATTTTCTCTATTTTGCTTTTGATTGAAGATGTAGTTCTTGGAAAATTATCTCACAGGTTAGGAATTGGTTTGTTTGAATACTCAAAAAAAAAACAAAACACCAAAACCAAAAACAAACAAACAAACAAAAGCAAAAAACAACAGAGAATTAGGGACGTCTTACACTGTGTTTTTTGATTGAGTCAGACTTAATCCAAGCAGGCTTTTCATTCTCGTTGCTGGAAGCGTTGACTACAGATTCAGATTTCTCAAGCCAAGCTGACAAGTCACTTTGGCCTGAGGTTAAAGTCAAACTGAAAGCTACAACGCTACTTTCTTTAAAGTGAGGACCCTTTGGAGTCTCAAGTTTCCACTTGCAAAGCAGAACTTTTCTACTTTTTAGGTTTTTTTTCTACAAAGATTTAGCAGAGGGTATTGCAGTTCAGAAAATATTTGGCAGCAGAATGATCAGAGCTTTAAACCGACTAACCAAATTTTCTTCAGATATCTATTGTTTGCTTTTTTGGTTTTTGGGGTTTTTTTTGCTTTGCATCAGAATTTATACACAGGTTGCATGTGAAGAGAAGGGATGCGATGTATTTAATGACATGAACATCTCCAGCTGCCATTTGAATCTGCAGCTTGAAAGCTTCTCTTCTGCAAAATGCAAACCACAGGAGTTCAAAACCAAGGGACTTTGGTTGTGTGTTCGAGCAGGGTCTGAACGAGACTTTTGGTTGAGGCCAGCTTTGTCTGGTGAACAAGCTGAGGATTTTTAGGAGAAACACAGCAACATAACCCAGAAATGGAACAGCAGGTGGTTTTGCTTGTAGAACAAGAGCATCCATCTGAGAATGCCTGAGAAAATCCCCCCAAAAAAGAGCTAGCATGGTGGAGGAGGAGTTGCACGTGTGGACTGATATGGGCCAGGATGGCTGCTGTGTCCATGGTGAGAAATGCGGCTCTCCAGCTCGTTAGACTGGAGCTCCTGTGGCCACTACAGTTAGGGCTGGCTGAGCTTTTCCATTCTAAAACCCTGCTGTTTTAAATTGCTCTTCATTCCCCACGGCTTATACCTGCTGGGTTCAAGCTAGTGCCGAACCAGGTGAAGCCAGCTGATTTTTGCTGAAGGAATTTCTGGAAGGCGAGATGCATTCTGCTGAGTAGTGGTAAACGCTGGGTTAGGTATGGCTGCATGGTTGAGGATTTGATGAGCACAGTCCCTACAGAAGACTTCCAAGCAGCACCTCCTGCTGTCTCGTGCTGTGCTGAAGGGAACAGGCCTGCGTGGCTCTGCTCGCTGTGCAGGAATGGTTAAACTGTAAACGGAGAAAGGTCCCACTGTACGGCATCCCATCCAGCTCCCTGTGTGCCTGCAGAAAGCTGCAGTCTACCAGTAACCAGCAGACAGGTTAAGTACCTGTCACTCAACTACTTCATTTACAAATGACTTCTGAAGCATTTGTCTTTTCTGCCTTGCTTTTCCCCCCCCTGTTGAAGCCCAGCCTCTCCCAGCGTGCCTGGAGTTCCCTCTGCGAGGCTGGGGTAGTTGGCTGAGTCTCCTTTCACGAGGTTAGCAGAGTAGTGTTTTGTGGCAGATACGGTAGTACCTGTTCCATAGTTACACAGTCCTGCCAGCTACTGGGTAATTTACACTTAGGAGAATTAAGTCTGCACTGTCAGAAACCTGCACCGTGATTCAGCTGAGAGTGGTAATCCTCTTTGTCCCATGTCATTGTGGTCAAGTAGTATGTGGTCCCACTGATTTAGAGCTCTCTTTAGTGTTTCATATTTGTTTAAATAGGTTTTTGAGCAGAGAAACAGAACATTTATATATCTTGGTGAGTTACGGATGGGAATCTCCAGACCACGCGTTGACCAGTGCTGAGTGATGCCAGAGGATCAGCTGAGGAATGGCTTGCTGTCCTCAGAATTAACATGGCTGGGACTCGGCTGCTTTGAGAAGTTTCTCTGCTGGGGCAGCGTGCATTTCCTAGCTGAGGGTCCTAGGAGCATCCTGGGAGCTGGAATTATCCTGACAGGTTCTGACACAGACAACAAGACAAGGCATCTGCATCTTTGCAAGAGGTAGGAAGGAAGAAAGTGTATTTATTCCGCAGGCAGAAGTCCAGATTTCTTCTCTAGTTCATGCAGGTCATCACCTTTTACAAGCATCTCTCTTTGCCCACCTGAAGAATACAGACGGCGTCACCTGCCAAACGTGTCGGGAGAGGTTGGAGGATATTCGCTGTTTCTGTAGAGTTGAAAGGAAAATTTCCTGTGCGATGCTCCGTGGTAGCTGCGTAATGGTCGGGGGAGTTCTCAGGGCACAGAATTGCTGGAGAAGGAAGGAGCAATGTAGAGGGTTTGGACACCCATTCATTGTCTTCATTCCTCTGGGGCAGGTGTGTGTGTTTACCTGCCTGCTTTGCTCAGTGGTGCTTTTTTCTAGTAGTTTAAAATGTCTCTGCCTTCCCTGGCAGGCATCGCTTTGCCAGATCCCATGCCGACCAGTGCCTTGCACTGTGTGCGGCTTGTTCCTCGGAGTGCCTCCACCTTCCAGAGCACCCCTAGGAGCCGTCTGCTTGAGCAACCCCCCTTTTTGTGTCCCTGCCTATTGTGCATCTAGCGTGACCTGTCAAGCTGTGGGTCAAACTGCTTCAGGGAAATTAAGAATTTCTGGCCTAGGTGACTCCCTCTCCCCTTTTTTGAAGATATTAAACTTTTTGAATGGGACCGGTCTCTTTTTCACCTCCGACTTCCGACCCGCCCATCTAAATGTAGTTGTGGCTGGAAAATCAGCGAGTGTGCGACAGCATCAGGCAGAGGAACGTCCCCTGGCATTTCCATGAGAAAAGGAGCCAGATGTTCAGCCTTGTCGGATCTTTCAAAGCACTGCTGCTTAACGAGGGATTTTTGGGAGCTGCCTTACTGTCACTGAGGAAACCAAGTTGCAGATCAAGGGCAACTTTATAACATCAGCAGGTTATGAAATTGGAGAAACCACTGGAAAGCAGGCAAGCCAAGGTCCCTGCTCCTCACAGTAGGTATTTGTGTGTCTAGTGAGTACTCTGAAGGAAATGGGAGCTTTGATATTCGTGATCCTCCTACCTAGCTCTGCAGACGTAGATGGTCGCTCCTTGTCCCAGCTCAGTCCTCCTGGCTCGGACAGCAGGAGCTGCGGTAGTCACGGCTATCCCAGATGCTGGGAGCTGCGGTTCCCTGAAGGACCATATGCATGTACTTGATTCCCAAAGGTCGCTCCGGGGTCTGCATGTCGTCAGCTGCAGCAGGCCACGAGAACGGGAAGGTGGAGGGCAGAATGAGCTGCAGTGCTCGTGTTTTCCCCTGCGCGGTGCGGCAGCAGGGTAGGTGCAGGGCAGCCCAGCTGGGCAGTGGGGCTTGCCCTGCTTTTGTTAGGATGGTTTAACCCCCAAAAACCACGCTTGACAACGGTAACTAAGGAGAACTTCACTGAGCAGCTGGTAATGAAGGGAAAACAGATTTGCTGGCAGCAGTCTTGGGGTTGTGAGGTGGAGTGGGGTTAATATTTTGCATTTGATGAGTGGATGAGATTTGCCTCAGTAGGGTTGAAACCTGGAAGTGCTGGCATGTGGAAGGAAGATGAAGGAAGGAGGGTGTCTCTTTAAAAGCCGTTTCCCCTGTGTCCCTGCACCGATCACCTTCTATCCTGGGAATTCTGACGAATTTCACGTCACCCCTTTGGCAAGGTCTCAAGCGGTCGGTGGCCTCTGGCCATTACCGTGAGCGAACATCCTTAGACTACAAGCCATCAACCTGCATGCAGCAGCCACGCACAAACGTTTTTGTGGACCCTGATGTCTTTCAGTCACTCCTTGTTGCTGGTTTCTTCCCCCCCCTCTCCTGCAGCTTGTGGAGAGACCTTGCAGGACTCTACGGGGAATTTCTCAGCCCCTGGCTTTCCAAACGGCTACCCCTCCTATTCGCACTGTGTCTGGAGGATCTCGGTGACCCCAGGGGAGAAGGTAGGTGCCACACCAGCACGAGGTGCATTCCGTGCTTCCCTCGCTTATGGCTTCGCCTGTGTCAGTAGCTGCCAAAAGATCTCTGCATGCCTGGAAGCCTGGAAAGGCTCCTGAGTGAGCACCGTCGCTGCTGAAGATCATCGCGTTGATCTTCCTGTGGAAACAAAGTCTTTCCTTAATCCAGTAGTACCAGCCCTTAAGGCCTTTCATGCTGTACCAGGCTCTGCAAGAACGAGCTGCTCGGCGGAGTGGCTTTGCTGAGGGCCACCCTCGAGACGCTCTTAAGACTTGGACTCGAACAAAAAAGAGCAGCGCTCACTCATTTGGCAGCAGCCGTCTTGCTCTGGGAGCCGGTTCTGTCCCCTGCAAGCCCAGCGCCCCGCAGTCCTGAGTGCCCGCCGTGAGCTGCACGGAGAGCTTGGCCAAGAGGTGCCAGGAACCATCCAGGCTTTGAAACCATTGCACAGCGTAAATCTTTCTGTAAATTCTCACTTTGTCTCTCAGCCTCTTCAGAAGAGTTGAAGCTATAACTGTTTTAATCTAACAATGTTTCCGTGGCAGACGATAGATGTAAATTAATACAGGGATCAAACCTTGCAAGGACAAAATGGCCACAAGTACACTCCCGTCGGCGACTTCCGTGGTCCCGGAGCAAGGCCCTGTGATCCTCGTTATAGAGGAAGGAGACCAAAGGGATGCTGAGCTCTGCTCAGTGAAGCCACTGAACGCGATGGCATCGTGGTGATGGCACGAGAGTAATCGTCAGAGTGTGGAACCTCGTCAGCAAAATCCACTCTTTCTTACAATAGTCGTTTCTGTGAGGGTATAGACCCCAGACAGGTGTGTTTTGGGGCAGTGTGTTTCTGTATGATATTCCCATTAATCAAAACCAAGGATTCGATTCTGAATTAAAAAGCAAACCAAACTGGGCTGTTTTTAGTAGCATTTCGGTAACCAAGGAGCAGTGAGTATGAATTACGTAAGGGATAGCACAGTGCCGTCTGCTGTCACGTACTCCCATGGTTTCATTAAAATACCTCGAGAAGCATTCCTTTTTCGAGGAAAGCTGGTTAAAAATGCCAACCAACTGTCCAGCCGTCTTTCCCTGTGCACGCAGGCGTCGCTGCAGCAGAGGTGAAGCGCGTAACCTTCTTTGTGAGGTAGCTCCCTTCCCAGAGAAGCGTGTGCTCTCTCCTTCCAGGTGATGTTAAACTTCACGTCGATGGACCTGTTCAAAAGCCGCCTGTGCTGGTATGATTATGTGGAGGTACGCGACGGCTACTGGAGGAAGGCTCCGTTACTGGGTGAGTAGGTGTTTCACTGTGATCGCATTTCGTATGTTTGTCTTGAAGCTTACTGGGGGAAAACACCCAAGCAGAGACCAACCTGCCTTTAGCTGGAAGGAGCTCATGTCCAGCCCGTGCACTGGCTGTCCATCAGTGTCTCCATCCAGAGGTGTCGGTGGGCTGTGTTCGCACCGGAAGATCCGTGCTCCAGGTCCTTTGGTAGCAGAGACTTTATTCCTTCCTTTTCCAGCTGGAGGACTGAGACAGAGAGGGAAGTGACTTGGGGGCATGGCTGGGATTAAAAAGATGGGCTCTGGAGTTTTAGTGCTGCTTTTTTATAAGAGCTGAGTAGAACTGTCGGGCAGTGAGAAGGAAGCAGCCATACAGCTCCTGGCCCAAGCTCCTGCTGTCAATTACTCAAATATTTGTATCTACAAATACAGTCGTTTGTGCTTTGGGCCTCTGTATTTCTTTCTAGCAGGGAACTTACTAGACCATGCGTAGGATGTCAAAGTGTGCAAGGGCTCTTGTCGGCTCCTGCTCCCCAAGGTCATAGAATCATTAAGGTTGGAGAAGACCACTAAGATCCTCAAGCCCAACCATCACCCCAACACCCCCATGCCTGCTAAACCATGTCCTGAAGTGCCGCATCTATGCGGTTTTTGAACCCCTCCAAGGACAGTGACTCCCCCACTGCCCTGGGCAGCCTGGGCCAGTGCCTGACCACTCTTTCAGTGAAGGGATTTTTCCGAATGTCCAATATAAACCTCCCCTGGTGCAACCTGAGGCTATCTCCTCTTGTCCTATCGCTGGTTACTGGGGAGAAAAGACCTACACCCCCGCCTCACTACCCCCTCCTGTCAGGCAGCTGTAGAGAGCCATGAGGTCCCCCCTCAGCCTCCTCTTCTCCAGACTGGACAGCCCCAGCTCCTCAGCCGCTCCTCATCAGACTTGTTCTCCAGCCCCCTCCCCAGCCTCGCTGCCCTGCTCTGGACACGCGCCAACCCTCAATGGGCTTCTTGTAGTGAGGGGCCCAAAAATGAACACAGCACTCGAGGTGCAGCCTCACTGGTGCAGAGTACAGGGGCAAGATGTGAAGGAAGCACAGCTCCTCGGCGTTCTCCCCGTCCCTCTGCCTCCTGCCATTGCAGCTGCAGCTCCTTTGCTGCCCTGGCTCTCGTCCTCACCCCGGCATCCCAGTGCGTTGAAGGCTGCGCTGCCGACAGCCCCAGAAAGGGAGTGACCGGGCTGTGCAGCATCACCGGCTGCGTGCGGTGCTGTGCCCGTGCCGCAGCACCGGGCTGGGTGCCCGACATGGGGTCGGTGGGCTTGGGGAGGGCTGGGCACTCACCGCGGGCCCCGTGGCCCCTGGCTGCAGTGCCAGGCTGGAGCCGTGTTCCTCTCTGGAGGTTTCTGCGGGGCTGCCTTTCGGCGCAGGGCTGGCGGCCGGTTTTGTTGCTTCTTGCCCGTTTTGGGGCTGGCAGCATTTATTGCTGTTTTCTGCTGCACACGTGCCAGGTAACGCCGCTCCGGCAGCCGCCACTTAGCTGCATGTTATTTATTTTTCCTGCTAATTTAAAGGTATTTCAGTAGCCGAGCACCTCCCTGTCCCCCTCATGCAGGTGGATCGTGAGTGTTCCCATCTGGAAGGAGATGCTGCATGGGGACCCGTGAAATCGGCTGGGAAGAGGCAGACAGCCGGCAGTGCAGCGGGGGGCGGGGAGGGGGATTAGTGCGGGCTGTGAAAGCACGGGCTGCTTGCGGAGAGGAGAAAAAAATCCACGTGCGCTGCATATTTTCCCAGGGAAGTGTGTGAAACCCCAGCCTTTAAATGGTGTACGACTTTTTATGAACGAGCCCTTTATCACACCCTGAGGAGTTTGCTCCTTCTCGTTCCTCACCTGCCTTCCCTTTCCTTGACGCCCTCGTTAACCTCTGAAGACAGGCGAGTAAAGCCAGGATCCGTGCCAGTGTTTGGATGGGGGACTCAGCGAGGGGAAAACGTCGGTGGGGAAACTGCAGTTGGAGGGAAACCAAGTTTGCAACTCGCCTGCCGTACAGCCTGCAGCCATTCCGTTTCAGGATTATAGAATCATAGAATCGTTTGGGTTGGAAGGGACCTTAAAATCATCTGGTTCCAACCCCCCTGCCATGGGCAGGGACCCCTTCTACCAGCCCAGGGTGCTCAGAGCTCCATCCAACCTGGCCTTGAACACTGCCAGGGAGGGGGCAGCCACAGCTTCTCTGGGCAACCTGGGCCAGTGCCCCGCCACCCTCATGGGGAAGAATTTCTTCCTCATATCTGATCTAAATCTGCCCTCTTTTAGTTTACAGCCATTCCCCCTTGTCCTGTCACTACACACCCTTGTGAAAAGTCCCTCTCCCGATTCTCCCTTGCTGGAAGGATTCAGGTATTTACCAGTGCTGGTGCGTGCCAGCGAACCCAGAGCTGGGTGAACCATGGACCAAAAAGGCTCTTGGTGACTAAGCTCTCAGAAGAGATTGGATGACTGCGGGGTTTTCACTGGGAAGAGGTAGATTTCCCAGGGGAGTGAGAGCAGAGGGTGAGGTGAGGGATGGTTTCTCATTGGCGTGGCTGCATCCTGCCCTTGGCTTGGCTTGGACACTTCACTCTTGGGTACAAAGAAATTAAGGGGTTTCCAAAGCCAAGCAGGCGGAGCGGACATCCCCCAACGTCATGTCTCTGGAAGGACAGGGGAGGGTTCCTCACCCTTGCAGCTCATTTCTGCAACCAGGTAACAGAAACAAGAGTCCTTTTGAACTTACCAGGGCAACAGAGGCTGTGTCTGTGAGTACTGGATTCTGCTCCCAGCTGAATAAAACCTTTTTAATTTAATAATTTAATAGAATGCAAATTAATACGAGGGAAAAACCCATAAGCTCATTGCAAAGCACAAGTGGTGAGAGTGAAAGGGAGCTCTATGCAAGCACAGCCCCTTTAACCGCTGGCTCTTTGCTGCCTGGAGCTTCAGGTCCCTGTGATGCTATGCTGCCCGTCCGCCGGCAGATCTTGATCGTCTCTTTCCTGCCTTCTAGGTAGATTTTGTGGCGACAAGATCCCTGAACCAGTAATCTCCACGGACAGCAGGCTGTGGATCGAGTTCCGGAGCAGCAGTAACATCCTGGGCAAAGGCTTCTTTGTGGTCTACGAAGGTACAGCCCGTAGCTCGCAGTCTGCCGCATCGCAGGGAGCAGCCGGGAGAGGATACAGTGGTGATGGGATGGGCAGCAGCTCTGCTTCTCAGTGTGGCTGGATACAGCCCCCGCTCCTGTTTTTATGGGAATTGGCAGATTTTGAGGGCTGTTTCAGCAGCCGAGGCATGCTTCCAAGCAGATCATTGCCTTTTGGGGGGGGATGACAGGATGGGAGCACAGTGCAAAGTTCTGTTTTGGATCCTACGTTTCATACCACTTAATGCAGCTTATTTTGGGTTTCTTTTCTCAAATGCAAAGAGTGTTCTTTGGTTTCTCCCTTGTCTGTTTACTTAGGGAAGATTGGAAATTAGGATGTCAGATCTTCAGATCAGGTACTTTGGAAACTTGCGTGGCACCGGACTGCTGAGACCACTTCAGAGGAGGACCAGTACTACCAAAGTCACTAACAAATCAGTAACATCCCTTCTCCATACATGCTTATTTTTAGAATCATAGAATCATAGAAAGCTTTGGGTCGGAAGGGACCCCTAGAGGTCATCTAGTCCAACCCCCCCGCAGCGAGCAGGGACACCGCTAACTAGATCAGGTTGCTCAGAGCCCTGTCCAACCGGGTCTTGAATGTTTCCAGGGATGGGGCCTCCACTGCCTCTCTGTGCAACCCGTTCCAGTGTTTCACCACCCTCATTGTAAAGAATTTCTTCCTTATATCCAGCCTAAACCTACCCTGTTTTAGTTTAAAACCATTACCCC